TCTTAATTATTTATATTATTTATATAATTTATTATAAGAAATCTGTATTAAAATATTTATATTAGATTAGAATAAATAATTACTATAATTTAATTTTTATAGAGTTTTAAAAATTTATTATAATATAAACAGCTAATTTCAGTACTACTATTTATATTTATATAATTTATTTCAATAATACTATTAATAAATTTAATACTATTTTAATAATAGTTTATAAATTAATTAAAAAAAAATTAAAAAAAGAGATTATATAAAAAAACTTTATAGATAGTGAAATTGAAATAGAAAAAATATTAAAAATTATATTCTGAAAAAATACAGAATAGAAGAATTATTACAGTATTAAAATATATATAATTATAGAATAAAATTATAAAAAAATATAAAAAAACTTTATAAATATATATAAATATATAAATATATAATAGAGAGTTAATTATATAAATTAATTACTAATAGATATCAATTTATTATATTTATTATATAAAATATTAATTAATTATAATTTAATTATTTAAATAATTATAAAGTTTTATTTTATTTAAAACTTTTTAAATAAAATATTTTTATTATTTTTATATTTATATTTATAATATAATAATTTTATTTATTTAATTTTTTAATAATTTAATTTTTTAATAAATTTTTTATATATTATTTTTAATTTAATATTTTAAAATTTAAATTTAAAAAATAATAATAAATTAATAAAATCTTTTTAAATTAAAATTAAATTATTTATATATAAAATTTTATTATTATTATTTAATTAATAAATTTTAATTAAAAATTAAATAAATATTATATTAAAATATAATAATAATAATAATAATAATAATAATAATAATTAATATATATTTTAAAAATTTATATAAATTTAATTATTTAATTTAATTTAAATATATTTTTATAAAAAATTATAAAAAATATTTTAAAAATAATACAAAAATTATTTTAATTACATCAATTTTATTTACTAATTTTTAATTTATAAAATTAAAATCAATTCATTTTTTAATTTTTTTAAGTTAAAAACTTAATTTGAAAAACAAAAAACAACTTAATTTAAAAAACAAAGTATAAAACTGAATAAATTATTTAAGAATTAATTTAAAATCAATTTCTAACTACTTATACAATATCATTTATAAGAAAATTATAATTAAAATAATTAAAAACAGAATAAATACTTACATCTCTGCAGCAATCTATTTAATCAATTAGCAATTAGTTCATAATTAATTAAAAATCAATTAAACAAATCTATCAATTTCAGCTTCAGCACAATTCTTGCAAGATACAACAATACTTATATCTTTCATTATTTTTTTTATATTTTTGATAAATGATTGATAATTAATTAGCAATCAGTATCAAATCAATTCTGCAAGAATTATTTCTTATCTCAGTTTTATCTTTCTATTATAGAAACTTTGATATAGAAGCAGCATTGTTTTTATCATCAGATATAGTTATATTTATAGTGATAGTATTATAGAACTCTGAATCAATTATCAATTCATTGAGAATTGCTCAGAAATCAGTTAACAATTATTTTGAAAATATTTACTAACAGTCTCATCAATAATTTTCTGTGAAATATGATCACTCTTCTGCTCAGAAACATCAATCTCTGTATATATTGCAATATAATAATGAAAATTATTGATAAAGAAAAACTGATGCTGCAATCAATTAGCAAGTAATTTGAAATCAATTGAGAATTAATTAATACTACTGTTGTTTTCATGCATTCTGAAATTCTACAAAACACTTCTCTATACTTAATATAAATCATCTCTCTCATCTAATATATTATAAATTAGCTATACATTCTTTGACAATCAACTCTCAATTGATTCTCAATCAATTACTGTCTTGTAGTTGAGCAGTGTTAGCTTCTCTATCTCAATAGTTTGTAAGTATTTCTTATAGCTGATCTATAATACAACATAAATCAGTTTCATCAGTTTTTCATCAAAAATCATCAAATTTTCAGCTTCTTTCTTTCATTTTTATCAATATTTTACTTACAGTCTTCTTAAGTTCTGCTATCTTCTAGTATTTGTATTGTTTAGAGCTTCTGTGTGTGATAGATCTGCTTGCTGATTGTAAGTCAATTATCAAATGATTAGTTGTACTGTGGGAGGTAGGGTAGGTGCACAGGCTGCGCTAGTGAGGTTTGATTATATAATGAGGTTGGATGGCTTACTTAGTGAGGTCGACTCTTCTGTATGCACTTTGGAACATCCCTGTGTTTACGTTTTTCCTGATCGGGCGATTTTGGTTGGGCAATTTATTACATTGATTTTCTTATCACCGTTGTGAGGAAATAAAATAAAAGGTTAATTCGCCTGAACTCGCGTTTGTGCCGTTAAACTACTAGTAAGTAGTTATATCCTTTTAGGAAACCGTGCAATGATGACATTATCATCAGTGGCGTTTGAAACGCCCGTCAGGTTTCAGGGCAAACACCACTGGACAGATTGCACGACGGTTTGAGCCAGCGTCCATATTCTGCTCAACTCGATATCGTCTGAGAACACCTAACAATTCTCCATTCAGGCAAGTCACGGAGTTATTTAAGAGGAAATATAATTGAGGTATGCAAGTTGCCAGAATCATGCGAGTGGTGAAGGGAGATAGGCAACAGACCAGTTGAGCCTTGATTCCCAAATATATATTCCAGTGGAGATAATATGATTACTTGTCACTCGTTAGTTATTTATATCTGGCCGTTGATGGGTGTAACATTGACCCAGCGGCAAAGCCCCTTTTTTCTGTATTATTTATTTCCTTTCATTGTAAATATGCGCACCGCACTGTGGCCTGCAGCAGACACAAGAAAAAGAAAACACAAGGCAAAGAACACCGTTGGCGATCACCAACATATTTTTATACTCTTATATTGAGCCCAAGGACCATCCATTTTTGTCATCTCCAGAGTAGCATTTAGCTCAGTATCTACCCATTCAATCGTGCGTTTGTTGGCTATTGAGTCTTCCCTTCGTCGTCGACTGCCACAAGCGCAGTCACGTTACCTGCCCCCTACGCGTTGTTGCTCCCTTCCCGTTTCCGCCTCACTCATCCTCCCTCCTCAACCTCGACTTCAGCTCCAACGTCGCATTGTCGCCTGTTTCACAATTACTTCCTTCACCAACCTCCCTTGTCCTGGAAATATCGCCCTGTATTACTATTCCTCCATCTGTTTCGTCTCCGCGTCTTCTCTACAGACAAGCACACGTCAACCTCCGTCCACATCACCTCTTTGCATGTATCCACTCTCTACCTACCGTTTCGCCAGCAATCCAACCCCCCGTCCTCCGCGCTATTGACCGACCAGCTGGCTGGCTCACGCATTGATTATTGATCTTCCTGGTCATCCACCATGTCGGACAGCCGGGCCCAGACTGGTGTCCGGAGTCTCCTGGCCCGATTTGAGAACAATAATAACAGTTCATCAACTTCACCCCCTTCGAGGGGCCGCTCCCCAATCGATCAGGATGGCCCCGGCTCTGTCCGCCCTCTCTCTAAGGTTAGAGCAAGCTTCGTGGCCGTCGAACGCGCTGGCCAATCTGGCAGTCCTCCCATGTGGGGATTGAGGAAGGCGGCGGATCTGGACAGCAACAATACAAATAATAACAATAGCAGCGCCAATAATTCCCCTGGGAAGCTTATCAGAACCATCTCTAGTGGCGTTGATGATGTGGGTAGCCCCATTGAGAGGTCCGTGACGACATCTTCGAGCAACAGTGCAGATAAAGGTGCTGTGATGAGCGGGTCGTTGTCATCCTCGTCCCCTGATAACAGGAATAAAAGTAATACAAATGCCAACAACAACAACAATAATGGCGGGCTCCTGGGTAGCGGGAACCTCAATAAGCCTTGGGCTGCAAAGCTACCGTCTCGACTCATGGATTCCCCTACACCTGGCAAACAATCGGCCTCAGAAGACATTTTAATGGTTGCAGCTACGACGGAAGGGAAAGATTCGGGCAAAGTCAAATCCAAGGGCGGCCCACAAGAAAATATGCAGCAGGAAAAAGAGGGAGCACCAATTACCGCTGCTCGTATGAACGGAAAATCTGCTGATAAAGCTGCAACCAAGAAATCGAAGCCATCTATGAACCAGTCGTCACGTCCGGCAAAAATTGTTGTCGGGAATGATGCTAATAATGCCACGTCTAAGAAGTCTTCGACAAAGGAGCTGAAATCACCGCTCCCTCGGACTCCTAGAACACCAACTACAATGACTAATCTCATCGCTAAAACTACACCAAAGGAGACAGACAGACCTAGAGCTGCAGTTACGAAACAACCCATTCAGCCTGCAGCGGACAAAGCCACAACAAAGCCCTTGTCGTCAGCATCCACCCGGGACAAAATCGCAAAGCCATCTTCCGAGAACCCTCCTGCAACTAACAGATCCCGCACAAGATCTCCAACAAAACCTATCCGTCTTCCAAATTCAATGGTAGCACCAACAGCGTCTTCTGCTGCGAAATCAAACGTTGATGGCCGCCCGGCTAGTCAAGCGGGAACACGTATATCAAACCTAACTCGCAAACCCTCTAGTTTGAGAAGTGATCGAAATAACTCATCAAAATCCACTGGTCCAATAGGTTCTGCTACACAAAAGCCGGCCAAACGAGCATCTTCCCTTGCTCCCCAGAAAAATACAGCTCACGACAGACCAAGGTCTCGCGTCAGCAATGTTGGAGCTGTTCGGGCCCCTGATGAGTCCTTTTTGGCGAGAATGATGCGCCCTACTGCAAGTTCTGCAAGCAAGATGCATGAGAAGATTGAAATCAAAAGCCCACCCAGAGGCTCTGGTCCACCAAAGGTTCGGAGGAAAAGTGGAGAAAGTGCAAGTAGTCATGTCAGTGCAAATGCACCAGCGAAAACTCCGCCCTCGTCGAAAAAGAAGATCCTTGCCAACCCTGCGCGAGCACTGTCGTCAAATGGGGATGTGGAACCTCTTAAGGAGCCGGAACCGGATGGCACCCAGACTGATACTAGTGCCACTGTGGCTGAGGTTGAAACTAATATCCAGAATCCCGAACCTCAACCAACTCGGGAACTTGAACCTGACCCTGATGCTGAGCTTGGGCCATCCGTTGCTGGACAAGAACCCGTCGCAGTCGAGCCAATTCCTCAACCTGAAGCCGAGCGAGTGGCCGAACCTGAGCCAGCCATCCCTGAGCCCGAGCCCCGGCCAGTTGCAGCCGAACCAATTTTCCCCGAAACGGCTGCAACTGAACCCACCCCAGGTCCTTTGCCCGATAAAGCAGACGTGTCCATCATCGAAGTGGATCCTGCAGGAATCCCATTACCTGAACCTACTGAGCACGTCGAGCTATGATAGTTACTCGTCCAGGAGGGCTAGGGGTTGCAAGCTTATCCTGTATGCTCAAGTTTTCATACGCAGCCCTCAACCTTTCTCATATAGGTTATGACATCAACAAGAACAAGAACAAGAACAGCGTCATGCATCCTTCCAAGCGCCATTTTCACTTCATATAAGCTCAATTTCATTTCGATTTCTTTTCGATCAATCATCATCACCAATATAATTATTTTTAACATAATTGCTTTTTTATGTTTCTTACCTTTCTCCCCTCCAATATTACTCTAAGCTTCACTCAACCAATACAATACCCCTTTTAAATTGGCCGTTTGTATGATGGTATGCATATCGCTTGCATGCTTGCATTGCGCCGCCGTTTTTCTGCCCTTGATTTGACTCTGCTTTTGCTTGGCTTTACGCTGCGCACATTGAAATAGTGACCAGGAGTATTGTTGTTTCTTTGGTTTTTTTTTTTTTTTTTTTTTTTCTTCTTTTACTATTTGAGCAATACACGGTTTATTCTCCACATCATGTACCCTTTATTTTGAAAGCTTTACGTTCTATTCTATTCTTTCACAATGGCTCAAACTAACTTTGCATTTGTGAAAGAGGCTTTAGTATATGATAAAGCAATGAGAAAAGAATGATTATTCTATCTACTTTTCACATTTTTTTATCATATCGCTCATTCTTCGACATTTTGTCTTCTCTGCTACTTTACAGTTATTTATTTTTATTTTGCCTTTTCACTGTTTTCATTTCTCTTATATTTTTATCTGCTATCTTTATCATCTTTGGAAATTTAAAATTTTACCGTACTAAATATATCTTTCTTCTCTTTCTCTGTGTTCTCAGCTTTATCGATTTTCTCTCTTCATTTTTATCTCGAACATTTAAGTGTTTTTGGTCCATTTTGGCATGTTTGATTCTTAGTTTTATTCGGATTTGATTTAAATCTTGATGTTTCTTATTTTCAATTCTATTGGTTCGATTTGTTGAGATAGCAAAATTTTTAAATTGAATTGAATTAGATATTAAATTATCAATCTTTTCCACTTGCATATGAAGGTGTCAAGTGTATAGTATACTGTCAATGGTTGAGCCTTCATTCACTGTCAACTCTCTACCGTTCCTCTCTACTGGCAAGTCAGTGGGTGGGTTGAATAGCGCAGTGGGAGCCTTTGTACAGAAAACCTCTATAAGTAAGTACTAAACAACTGACAATCATTTCCGCAGAGACACAGAAATCACGATTTGAATCCCATCTCTGCCAACGCTTCATAATAGTATCAAGGATATGTAACGGGTTGAGTTAGCTGTATCGAATACTCTTTCTTTTCTTATCAGCTATATAAGTCAAGGGTGACAAAAGGCTCAGTAGTTTTACAACCAAAAGAAATACACGAATAAAAAACAGAGAATATAGAGCACCTACCTCCACGTAAATAAAAGGGGTAGAAGGAGAGCAAAAAAAAAAAAAAAAAAAAGGAGAGAAAACATATGCTGAGAAGAGTGGGACTCGAACCCACGCAGGTTGCCCTACTACGAAGCCCAGATGATCGAATCAGGTGATTCGTCATGCCAAGACCTGAACGTAGCGCCATAACCACTCGGCCATCTTCCCGATACTTCGTTGACCGGAGCAAAATCCGAGGAATTTTTATATAAGGTTTAGTGGCGACGGTGTTTGAACCCGGGAGGATTTTGTCAAGCTATTTACAAATGATGGTTTGATAATAACTAATAAAAGTGAGTGCGATGAAATATCCATGTGTCAGTTTATTTCTGGGTGTTTTTCTCTGTTTGCAGAGGGGGTGAGAAACTATGCACCCTATTTGAATCACTATCACTAAGGGTAGATATTGTGTTTATGACAGAACATTGCAAGAAAGGGGTGTGTGTTGATATATGCATGAAATGGAAATGGATAACTCTGACTCAGGACCTGGTTTCAATGATCTTTATTCACATGGACTAATTAGCGTTCCTGGGTCATAATACAAGGAAAAACAATAGGAGCAGCTTTGCTGCTTAAATCAACCCATGATCATGCCGTTAGTTCCTATAGAATTCATCACGGCCTCAATCTAATACATATCTTCCCCCCCCCTCTTAGACACACTCTGCTCTACGCAGGGATTGTACTTCAACGCAAACAGGCCGACCCCTCTCAATACTATGAAGCACAATAACCCACGTTTAAAATAAGGATACACACTCCACGAGCCAACAAACTCAACCTCAGCCTTGAATCGTCCGTCCTCTTGAAACGTTTCTTGTTCTATAATAGCTAGTGTGCCTGTGAACGGCAGAAGAAGATGGCCAGCTGATAATTGAAAGTGGAAGCATTCTGAGGGTTTCTGCTTCTTGGAAAGAGGATATATACCCATGAATAGGCGGCTCCCCCCTCTCTCCCAAATATTTGCGGATAAAAGCTAGGGTCGGAACAGTAGGACAGGCGTGTTTACGCATGCAAGGGGGGGTTTGCGGAGACGTCGCCTTCGCGATAGTTAAGGAATGCAGGCTTAGCCAACAAAGGGTGTACCACACGCCGGGGTGGCCCACCGAAGTCGTGCCTCTATTCAACAAGTCTCCAAGGTCCCGGCGGGGCCCCGTGGCAAGCGGTGTGCAATTCCCACCGCAGCAATAACATTTGATATAAGTACTTGACGGGGCGCTGGCAATGTTGGTATTAGAGCTTGTCATATCTGCGAGATCTTGTGAAAAGCAGAGGACTTCCGCGGATTCTTAGCTGTGTCCTTGTCGACAACACTGTTGGGTAGCCGTCTATACACAGCCATTTCATTCTAAAGAAACCTTGTCTGGAGACACCTTGGCGATTAACTCCGATGGAAGCCGTCTCAAAAGGTTCCGGCCTGGTTAAAGACGTGGTTGACAATTTCAAAATAACAAGCGCTCTGAGGGACGAGAGAAGGAAAAACAAACTATCTTCCTCACACGCTATTTTGCGAGCTGTGGAGGTGATGCGTGCTGCCAGCGGAGCTATATGCGACATGTGAGTAAGGGTTAAAAAGCTAAACGAATATGAACGTTACCAACGTTATTAACTGGCTGATAGAAGACCACAGATGAGACGGGAGATATGGAGTTCCAGGTGACAGAAAATCTGATATATTTTCTGGAATACAGCAACCCTAGACAAAGCCATGACCACCCATGGCGAAATACCAATTATCTCATGCTCACAGGAGGCTCCATGACCTAAGTCAGAAGTTGATTGGATGCTTTGGGGCCGTTGATGGCAAAGGATCCTTTCAATATTTGGGAGCTTGGCGGCATCGCCGTCGTCAATGGTGATGTTTGTCGACTGGGAAAGGGTCCATGAGGAGATTAGCTATTCAGCTTGAAGTTAATCTATTCCCTTAGAGCGCCTGGTGAATAATGAACAAAAAGATTTGTTGGAATTCAATTGCAAATGCTAGATACGAGAGCCAGATACTCAAAACAGGGACAAAATGGATGTTAAGCACTAAGGCAATGAAGAGCAGCGTCTGTATCATTCAAGTTCGTAAAAAAGTGTTGCGGGACAAATGTGTCAGAACAAATACACCAAAGTAAAAGAAAATAACCAAAACAGTTCATACAAATTTTACCCATCATCCGTTCGGAAAACGTGAGATCCATCAGAATAGGTGAGACAAATTCGGATTCGGCGCATTGAAAGTAGCTAAACAAAGTAGCTAATCATCCCACAGCGAGATGGGGCTCTTATTAGAAGGACGCTCTAAAGCTTGTCAAGTTTTTTCAGAAACTTGCCCACACCTTTCCCCAGGGAACTTGATGACTGTCTTTGCCCCTGTTTTATGTAGTTCGCGTTGCCTTCGGCTTCCGTTGGCCGATAGACCTGGTGGTGAACATCATATATATTCCCACCAGGCGGCTGTTGCTGTGACTGGCCGTAGGAGTAGCTCGAGTATCCGCCCATTGGAGCTTGTGGAGGCTGAGGAGCTTGGCCAGGACGGTAATCCGCATAACCCCCCTGGTAATGTTGATGTGCTGAGCTGTGAGGCGATGCGGGTGGCGGTCCAAAACTCTGCTGTCTGAACAAGTGTGTATTTGGGTCTTGTGGGGGTGGTGTATACGGTACCGCACCTGGAACCCCTGGAACTGATGGTGGTGCCTGTACGGCGGTAGGAGGCGGTGCAAACGACATGCTGCCAGACTGGTTGTGGTTTTGTCCCGAAGAGTGAGAAGTGAAAGAGGACGTGTGGACCAAACCGGCTGTTGGAGGGGGGGATGCATACTGTCCATATCCCGGAGCCTGATTGGGTGGGGGAGGGGGAAACCCGGGAGACATTGGCGGGGGGGCGAATGCTTGCCCACTGTCCGATACGGCGGCTGCGGCAAGCCCTGTTCCGGTTACCCCATCTGGCGGTGGCGGCGTTTGTTCGCGTAGTTTAATGGGCTCTGGCGCCGCAGGGGCAGATGGATTGTACGCAATGGGAGTGTAGTTAATCTGTGCTTCCTCTTGCTTGGAAACAGGCTGGGCGCTGGGCGCTTCTAAGGGACTGACGGGCTCCGATATCGCTGATTGGGTAGGCGGAGGCGGAAAATTCTGGATTGCCAGCTGTGGTTGTGGCTGTTGTATTGGGACAGCCTCAGTGCGAGAGTTTCTCGTCTGACCGTTGTGGTAAGCCGGGTCGGTTATCGCTACATTTTCCAGCTTCTGGACTACGGAGCTCATCGCAACTTCATGCGCCTGGGGCTGCTGAGACGCGGGTATAATATCGAGTTGCGCAGGAGCTAGGAGTTTACGAGCATTTTGCAAAAATAGTGTTGCGTCGCCCGAAGTCCAGAAATAGAGATCTAGGGTATGAAGTCGAAGAAAAGCCCTGCTTTCATCACGAGGGTCGATGTTGAGCAGCAGCCACTCATTCTGGTCAACGATTGAAGGCATTGATGGCCCCGATGTACTCTGGCGATGAGCATCTACAATTAAAGTGCAGAGAGTGGGGAATTTATCCGAATTGCGTAGATGAACAGCTCCCAATGCTAAGTTAACCCCACGCTCGTTAGCATTGGGGGATATATATTCGACCCTGGACACTTTCAAAATTTTGACATACAGCCACAGAAAGCATCCTGCTCGGGCATCCCTGGGTGGTTTGCGATCTCCATTCTTGCCTTGTTCTGCGCGGCGTCATGATAGATGTAGAGATACGAGCCTTTATCGAAGCGGTGGTGCAATGGGCGTGGCGTGGGAGCCGAAAAGTAGTAGTGAACGTCAACAAAGCTGATATTTTGTCAGTCACATATAACTTATCGGGTGATGGCATGATCTTACACGGTGAGTAAACACACTTCATTGGGGAGGGGAGGCATGGTATGTGACTATCTCGGATGTTACGAAGGACAGGTAAAACAAGCGATAATGGAGGGGAGTAAATACGAGATACGCGCTCTGAACGCTGGACAAACAGGAGAAGAGAACAAGAAGTCCGAGAAGGACGACGACGAACTTATATTGCGGGCATTCTGGGAGGGACAGCTAGCCGCCGTCATGGTGCCAGCCATGCACCCGCTGCATGCTTGAAAGTTGCAGTCGAACCCCGCGCTTAAGCACGACGGGGCTGAGTATAAGCCAGTCACGGAGGTCGAGAAAAGGTCACATGATAAATCACGTGGAGAGACCTCGCAAATTTATCCGAAGAATTTACCTCCAGAAGATAGGAGGTACGAGAATTCAATGCATTTAAACAAATATCTACCTGATTGTATCAGTAAGTGTCTTGTTGAAGCCAATTACATCTTCTAACCCCGCCCGTCATATACAACTAACTCCCCTTTCTCAGTGGAACACCCCCAGTAGCACTTGAACAAAAAGCTCTCCTTCGAAGCAGCCAGCGATAGGAGCACCCAACCCAAATCGAGGCCAATAGCCTCTTCTCCCTCTGCCATACACACATAGGCAAATCTAACAGAAAAACCATCCATCACAATGTCCCTCTCCAACCTTGCCAACGTCTGTTCCTCCATCACAAACGCCTCCAAAGCCCGGCTCGCCATCACCTCCATTCCAAACACAAAGCTACACCTCCGCCTTGCCCTCGCCCTGCGGGACGCCGGCTTCATCTCCACCGTCGTGCTCGCCGGCCGCACCCCGCCGCCCCAACACATCCTCCTCAAGATCCCCGCCGCCAACGACGAGCTCGAACCCATCGAGCCCGTCACGCGGGAAAACGTCGCATCGCGCCGCCTCTGGCTGGGGCTGAAGTACTGGCAGAGCGACCCGGTCCTTAGCAAGATGTCGATGGTCAGCAAGCCGACGCGGCGGCTGACGCTGGATGTGCCCAAGTTGAGAGATATCGTGCGCGGCAATAAGCGGGAGACGGTCGAGGGGCTGCGGTTGCCGGGGGAGTGTTTGTTTTTGTCGACTAATCAGGGAATTTTGGAGGCGAGGGAGTGCGTGGAGAAGATGACCGGGGGACTCGCGTTGTGTAGAGTGGTTTGAATGACGCTTTGTGGAGCGTTTTTTGGTAGTTTTCTATTTCCCTTCCTTCTTTTATACTTTTTGTCGCATTGGAATGGAGTTTTCTTTTTTTTTTTTTTTGTTTGGTTTGCGGCAAGGGTGTGCATGCGGCATTGGATCGAGTAGTCGGCCAGGAACCGGTGTCTGCAGATGTATCTTCATGCTTGTATGTACTGTATATTACATGATAGGTCGACGAGTTTTCCCTGTCTTTCTTCTACCTTTGATAGATGGCTAGAATCATCACGTATAAAATCGAGGATTTTTTGAAAGATCTACGCCGTCTGATGTTCCATTTTGCAATGCAATATCGACGACAAGATATCGAACAAGGAAATTTGCCCAAGTTATTTATTGATTCAGATTTATTTGGGGAAGTCAACCCTACAATCCGAATTTTTGAAAGCGAAACAAAAACTTGATTGATCATGCCAGCAACCCGCCACCAACTGGAATCACAGAAAATGTTCACATCCAAAAAAAAAAAAAAAAAATCAAAAATCAAAATCAAAAATTGAGAAGAAGGAAGGAGAAAAACATATCACGAACATCAGGGTCTTGCCGCGACTCGAACGCGGGGCCTCTCGCAAACAAGATGCTTTAGGGTGAACCCTAAGCGAGAATCATACCACTAGACCACAAGACCTGAGAAGTCATGTCATGTTCAGGCGAGAGTCTGGTTTTCCCGGTTGTGAGTTTATGAAGCTCTCTACTGAATAATTTTAGATGTTGCTGTGTTGTTATCAGGGTTGTTGTCTGGTGTATTATGTGTGTGTATTTACTTCACCTCCTGCTCTATCTCTATGGCAACACATTAAATATTACCACGCTTCACAGCATTTCCAGAGACCACACTTTGATTAGACCTGAATTTTAATTGACTTCATAATAGAGAGGGATATAATATATATAATCAAGGAGGAAGTATAGCAATGAGCTGAGGATGAACAGCTAATACAACAAGGGCTGAGGGAAAAACAAAAAGAAAAACAAACCAACAACCCAACCTACAAAAAGAGAAAAAAGGATCCATGGACGACCAAAGGAAACAATGGGGAAGAGAGGAGAAGCTACGGGAAGGGGAGATAATAACGATAATGAAAAAGGGGAGAATGGCAAAATATCCCATAGTAAAACATAACACCACCTCATAGATTCGCCAATCTAAGCGTCCATCTCTTTGGCTTGTCCAGGCACATATATGCGATGGAAATGGAAACGGAAGGGGCGCTAGGAGACGAAGCTTTGCTGAAGCGGAAGAAAAACGAGGTGTGGGCAGAGATGGAGAGGGAGAATGCCGCCCGGTGGGAGGGCACGTGTTGCCTGTAGATATCGCTGCCGTCCACCTCCTTTTTCCGATTTTGTTTTGTCGATATCCTTGTCCATCTTCGATCATACATTTCTCAACAACAGCCCAACTAACGGTCATTGTTCATTCCATTTTATATTGTGCAGCCGTATGGCGGTGTTCCAAGGAGAGCGTAGAAGAGTGGAATCTCGGTTGGTTGGCTGGCTTTTCATTGCGCCTCAAGTTGCCTTGTGGGTAGGCGAGGCGCGCTTCCCGCCATTCGCATCGTTTCCCTCTCCCCCTTTCTTCCTACCCCACAAAATTTTGTAATCGGTGTTTCCCCACATCTGCATTCCTGCACGAGATTTCATGGCATCCAATGCATGTCCACATACATGGAAGGGAAATCCTGGCCATCCACCCATCAATCCACCATCCATCACCCTCATCTTCCCCAAAATCAAAAATAGAAAAGCAAGAAAATAAAAAGAACCCCCACCCCAAAGGAGAAAGTAAAAAAGAAAAAAGTGAGCAAAAACACACGTCTTTTAAACTCAACGTCTCCTCTCAAAATACCCGCTGGAGCCAAATACTGCCACGCTCTGATCCATCACCCACTCGCCTATCCCCAAGTAACTATCCACCCATTTATTCACCTGCGGATTATCCGATATCTTTTGGGAATTGAGGCTGGGGCTGAGAGAAATGGTGTTCATCCAGCGACCCCACTTGACCCAGCGACACAGAC